TTAAGCCCCGCCCACCTGATGACGTCAGTACCTACCTGCCAGGTGTGAACTAATTCATAGAACGAGGATGGCGGTAATAATGTGTTTAATGGGTGATACTAATTAAGACTTCACCTGGCCACACCTTGTCCATGAATTTCTCAGGGCCACATCTCCTCAGGGCCACACCTCTCAGTACCACACCTCCTCGTGGCCATACCCTCTCATGATCACCAACAAGTATTAATAATAACAAATGAAACTGACACTCCGAGGCTGACCTTGAGCACAGTAGTTCCTCGAGTAAGTGTGGGCGGCAGACAGCCTCAGCCAGCCATGTGCGCCCTCAGTACCAAGTGGCGGGAGATTGGCTCTGAAAATTAAAGGAAGACTTAATCTGACGAGTTTGTGATTACAGACGGACTGACAGACATGATAAAGGACAGATAGAAAGACAGACAGGCAGACAGAAACATGTAGACAGACAGACAGACAGACAGATAGAAAGACAGACAGACAGGCAGATAGAAACACGCAGACAGACAGAGAGAGACACAAACAGGCAGACAGAGACAGTCAAACTAACCAAAAGATAGACTGAAAGACAGTGAAATGAATACAGACAAACAAAACAAAAAGACAGGCAAACAAACAGACAGACAGGCAGACAGACAAACAGAAACACACACAAATACAATACTACACTCACATACCGATTGCAATATCCCTCCTCCTCGGCGGCGGTGAGATGAAAACAAAAAAAATTGAAGTTATTGAAACAGTGTCATCATTAAAGACCCGCATGTGTTGTGTTTGAAAGATAAGGTAGGAGGAGTGGGCGTGTTTGGGCGTGTGTGGGCGTGTTGTTGGCATGTGTGGGCATGGTCGTACTTGGGGGCCATCATGGGGTTGGCAAAGGCGTGGACATAACATAGGACAAACAGACATACAGATGGACACACACACACACATACACACACAAACACACACGACCACTCAGAATAATAAGTAATGGATTGCCAATCAGATTAATCGAGTTGCAGCAGAGGCAGGTAACTAATTGTCTAAGTCAATCTACCTTACGACTTACCTGCCTCCCCCCCCCCCTCCCTACCTGTGTCCCCACTACACCGGACTAACCTGCGTGCATATATGACTTTCAGATATAATATAGCCAGTGTATATATCGTATTACCTTTATATTAGACATGTATATGCACTTACATAGGCATGCATAATGTATAGGTGAAGTGTCTTTTTTTATTATATTATACGTATACATATATTACATTATACACACATTATATAAACACGTATATTTTTCTGTTTACAAGAGTTGGTTTTTTACTCTGATTTATTATTGTAAGCTTTCTCTTTTCTTTGGTAATGAAGGTTTAATATTTTACAACTTTCGAAGCAACATCCGTCGTTATCATAAAAAAGTTTCGTTATTATACAAAAAAAGAAAGAGAGAGAGAGAGAAAGAGAGGGAGAGAGAGAGAGAGAGAAGGAAGGAAAAAAATCCTCCTTCGTTTACTCCGAGTTGGGGCAAACTTTGGAGATCTAAGACTTTATGTTTACAGCGTCAAAGTCAGTCAAACTGTGCTGCGTTGATTACCACCACAAGCAGTAGACGGCGAGGGTGAGGCGGGTTCTTCTCTCATCCCTCACTGTTTGTCGAGTTGTTCACTGTTTTGTTATTCTCCGCCCCGCCATCATCCTCCTCCTCGACTTAACCTACTTTTTAGTTAGTAATAAAGAGATATACTTATGCCCGCTTAATAAGTAGGAACACAGATTTAAGTAATGATCTTATTATCACAGTCAGTCGCAACACCTATCTTCATCCCCCGTCTAGTTACTGTACACCTGTCTACTTACACCTGTCATTAGAGATTCAAACCTCCATCCTAAAAATCTAACCACTTGAAACATCAGAATTCGAACCGCTGTCTCAGAATTCATATTTATTGTCTCATGATTCGAATCTCTGCGTAAACCTAGATATGAACCAACTATCATGAGAATCGAATCTCCTACTAAAACATCCAGAACCCCCCGCTACACACACACACACACACACACACAAACACACATATCCCAACACCTCCAACACACACACACACAACAACACCTCCCCAACAAACACATACCCCCCAAAACCGGAGTAACGACCCTACCCTACTCCCCTACCCTACTCCCCTACCCTATCCCCCACACTCTGGTAGGTCGGTCACTGCCGTATAAGGAGGAACACCCTAATAGCGATGGTTCCTTATAACATCCCAAAGTCTATTCTCTCTCTCTCTCTCTCTCTCGGTTTTTTGTCACCTTTTTTTTTCTCCCACCCAACATCCATTTTTACGGTGATACATTGTAGTAGTGGTGCAGTGTAAGCTATATGAAGGAGTTAACGCGTGAGGCTAGACATTGGTGAAAGCTGAGAGAGAGAGAGAGAGAGAGAGAGAGAGAGAGAGAGAGTTTGGGAATGGTATTGTGTTTCTTTTGAGGCATGATAGTCGAGGAATGATAGTCGGGGCCTGATAGTCGGGGCATGATAATTGGGGCATGATAGTCGGGGCATGATAGTTTTATCAAGTATAGTAATCTACATAACACATATACAACATCTACATATACAGCTAGATATAAATATACATCTACATATACTAAAGTAGATAAGGACATATAAATTAATATACCAATGAGAGCTTTCACAGTACACACACACACACACACACACACACACACACACACATACACACATTGTTATGATTTATTGCGTGTTTTAATTGGTGTTTTTCCATGTTGCTGATAAAACACTAAATGGACTGAGGCCAAAAAATAACATTCCATTATCAGTTCATCTTAAGGCGAAAAAATATTGTAATGTGTAACTTTTATATATATTTATCTAACTATCTGTCTTTATGTCTAATACCTACCTATGTATGTATGTATGTATCCTCCCTGACCACAACACCCTCTCCCTCCCTCCCTCTGTCTCTCCCCCTGATCCATCCAACCCCCTCCCTCCTTCCCTCCCTCCCTCCTTCCCTCCCTTATCTCTCGTCTTCGTTCAAGCTGTCGTAGAAACGGGATTGAGGATAAGCGTGTAGCACTATATGCCAGCTCAGGTCCCTAGGCTTCCCTGACTAGGACTTGGGAGAGGCCCTTAGTGGTGTGTGTGTGTGAGGGTCTTGGCCACGCCTCGTCCGCATAGCTCACCAGTCAGGGCTACCGACACGCGCCGCAACACACTCACCAACACCATCACCGCCGCCGCAGCAACACAATTCCTTCGTGGGTCGTAAGAATACAAACATCCTCTCCTTCACAGACGAAAATAACACAAAGTTGAGGCTCGGGTCGAAGGAGGGGATCCGGACAAAATTTTAATTGCAACAAACCATTACAGCAACTTCCCTCCATTAGTCGGCGGCGTCCGAGGGGCGACACCTCCGCGGCCACACCCGATAGCGCGTACACACCGCTCCCGACCCGATGTGTAACCGACCCAAACAAGTCTGCCCGAAGGTTATTCACTCCCTCGCCATTTCTGAGGTTTGTGTGTGAGGGAGAACGACTGAGAAACGCAGACGTAGCAGAAGGAGAGGCGGTGAAGGAGGGCGCACGTAAGGGGGTTGTCTGCGGTGTTGTTATCAGCCAGCATCACCCGTAAAACTACTGCATGCATTAGTTAGGATAAGACGACCACATCCCCTCCCTGCCACACTCCCATTTTCTTCCCCCCTCCTTCATCTCTCTCTCACTCCATCACTCCCTCCCTCTCTCTCTCACTCCTACCTCCCTCCCTCTATTTCACCCCCTCCCTCCCTCCATTCCCCACTCAGAGACCCCACCACCACGCGTTCCCCCCCAAGCTCCTCCAACATTATACCATCTTCCTCCTCCCAACACAAGCTCCATCACCTCCTTCCATCACCAACACCACCACCCTCTTCTTAATCCCCACTTTCCTGCCCAGTCGTTGGCTCGGGTCGATGTTCGGACAATTTCGGATGGGATGGACAGACGATTCGACATATCAGTGGATGGGAGGCGAGCTGGCGCAGAGGTGTCGAGCAGGTGTTCTGAGGGAGAGGAGGCGTGAGGGTGGTGGGGGGGAGGGGGGGTGGTGGGGGAGGGGCAATGGTGGGGTGGGGTGGTGGGGGAAGGGTGAGTGGGTAGTGGTGTTCAAGGCCTACACGGGTTCGATGTGTCCCCAGGTAGTGAATGTCAGAGGTTAAAAAGGGTTTTGCTCTCTCTCTCTCTCTCTCTCTCTCTCTCTCTCTCTCTCTCTCTCTCTCTCTCTCTGATCTTTTATGTTGTTGTTGTTGCTGTTTTTCGTGCTTTGTTATTTTGTTGTTGTTGGTGGTGGTGATTGTTGTTATTGTTGTAGTGAAGAGATAGTCAGACCGTTGCACACCACACACACACACACACACACACACACACACACACACACACACACACACACACACACACACCCCTTGGCAGGATATACACCATAATCCCTGCCAACAATATCACCTACACCTAGTATACTGTACGTACACTACCTACACCTAAAGAGACAAATCCTCGTATCTGTGTCATATTTCCCCCGCTGTATGTATGTATGTATGTATGTGTGTATGTATGTATGTATGTATGTTAGTGTGTGTGTGTGTGTGTATACGTTTTCCTCCCCGTCATCTCTTGAATGTGTCGCTGTGATTTTTTCCCCAGGTGTTATGTGGTTTCCCGTACACCTGCGGCCTCCTCCCTGTAATAAGAGTAATGCTGGCTTTTACCTGTGTGGCTCACCTCACAGTTTATGTCTAAGCTCAGGATGTGTGTGTGTGTATGTGGTGTGTGTGTGTGTGTGGTGTATGTGTGTGTGCGTGTGTGCGTGTGTGTGTGTGTCTGTCCAATAATTATATAGAAATTATTATACATTTATTACAATAGTAACCTGGAAACAACGTAATTAATTATTTCTCTTTCCTTCTAATTCATCTCCGTGGGCGTGTAGAGTGGGCGGTTTGGGGCTTACGGCGTTATGCAAGGGATCCCACTGGTAGCCTCCCCGCCCGTACACTCCGAAGCACCGCCCACGCCCATCGACGTCACCGCCTATCAGCCACCATGGAAGACCCTGACCGAGTTCGCCCTCACCCACGACCTGGAGAGACTTGATCCCTCCCACCCGCAATACCAACACATGTTACAGCAGGTTAGTCCTCCTTCTTCTTCTTCTTCTTCCTCCTCCTTCTCTATCTTCCATATCCTCCTCCTCCTCTTCTTACACCCTCCTCTATCATCCTCCCCCATCCACTTTTATCTACAACTATTGCTGGTCGTAGTTAGTAGTACTGGTAATAGTGATTGTGGTAGTGGTGGTGGTAGGGGACTCGATACCTCCTACTACCACAATATGATTATTTTGACAGGTAAGTTGGTACAAGTGGTAATAGTGGTGATAGTGGTAGTGATGGTGAGAATGATGATGGTAGTTGATGTGGGGTAATGATTGTGGTAGTGGTGGTGGTAGAGATGGTAATAGTGATGGTGGTAGCTGAGAATCCCCCCCATCGCCCCCCTCAACCCCTACCACCAATCACCTCTTACCACCCCCCACCCCTCCTCCTGCCCCTCAGCTACCAATCCTCTTACCCCACCCTCCTCCTCCCCTACAGGTGAGTCAGTAACCCCCCCCACCCTTCAACAGCTCCTAGTAATGGGTGTAATATGTGAGAGACAAAATAAAAATAAAATAAAATATGACAGATTGACTAAAACACTTGTAGGAGATGCAGGTGTTTAACGACCACAACTACCTGTACACTAAGAGAGAGACAGGTGTTTAACGACCACAACTACCTGTACACTAAGAGAGAGACAGGTGTTTAACGACCACAACTACCTGTACACTAAGAGAGAGACAGGTGTTTAACGACCACAACTACCTGTACACTAAGAGAGAGACAGGTGTTTAACGACCACAACTACCTGTACACTAAGAGAGAGACAGGTGTTTAAAGACCACAACTACCTGTACACTAAGAGAGAGACAGGTGTTTAACATTACACAACTTCTGCACTAAAGAGAGAGAGACAGGTGTTTAAAGACCACAACTACCTGTACACTAAGAGAGAGAGACAGGCGTTTGAATACAACTACCTGTACACTAAGAGGAGAGACAGGTGTTTAAAGACCACAACTACCTGTACACTAAGAGAGAGAGACAGGTGTTTAAAAGTACAACTACCTGTACACTAAGAGAGAAACAGGTGTTTGTGACCACAACTACCTGTACACTAAAGAGAGAGACAAGGTGTTTAACGACCACAACTACCTGTACTAAAAAGAGAGAGACAGGTGTTTAAAGACCACAACTACCTGTACACTAAGAGAGAGACAGGTGTTTAACGACCACAATTACCTGTACACTAAGAGAGAGACAGGTGTTTAACGACCACAACTACCTGTACACTAAGAGAGAGACAGGTGTTTAACGACCACAACTACCTGTACACTAAGAGAGATACAGGTGTTTAACGACCACAACTACCTGTACACTAAGAGAGAGACAGGTGTTTAAAGACCACAACTACCTGTACACTAAGAGAGAGACAGGTGTTTAACGACCACAACTACCTGCACACTAAGAGAGAGACAGGTGTTTAAAGACCACAACTACCTAAACACTAAGAGAAAGACAGGTGTTTAACGACCACAACTACCTAAACACTAAGAGAAAGACAGGTGTTTAACGACCACAACTACCTATACACTAAGAGAGAGACAGGTGTTTAACGACCACAACTACACAGAGGTTTTCACACTCCACCTCAGTTTAAACGAGTAGAGTACTTATGTAGAGAGGTTTAACGAAGGACTTCAAAAGAACTTGTATTTTATATCGTTATTTTAGTGGGTTAACGAGAGCGACCTAAAAAAAATATATATTAGATTATTTATATATTTATTTATTTATTTATTCGTTATTTATTTATGTTATTTATTTATTTATTTATTTGTTAATTTATTTATTTTGGTTTATATTGGAAAGTTTGGGTCAGCCATGGTAGGGCAAGGGTGGGTTTAGTTTTACAATATAGATCCTTTATGGGGCTGACCTACAGATTTTGGGCTGTCTGTCTATCTGTCTCTCTGTCTTTCTCTCTGTCTGTCTTTCTCTCTGTCTGTCTCTCTCTCTGTCTGTCAGTCTGTCTGTCTGTTAGGCACTACATCTTGTTGACATTAAGGGAGTGACGTTGGGGAGTTCCTCGTCACTACTTAGTTTGGTGAGTGACTGACTGTGTGTTCATTACCATCGTCTCCATCACCACCCTTCACCACCACACACGACCACCCTTCACCACCACACACCACCACCCTTCACCACCACACACGACCACCCTTCACCACCACACAGACCACCCTTCACCACCACACACAACCACCTTCACCACCACACACGACCACCCTTCACCACCACACACGACTACCCTTCACCACCACGACCACCTTCACCTACACACCCTTCACCACCACACACGACCACCTTCACCACCACCGCGACCACCCTTCACCACCACGACCACCTTACCTACAGCCACCCTTCACCTACACGGCCATCCTTCACCACCACATCTCAACAACGATTACACCCTCCCTTAACAACCACCACAACCACCCCATTCTCCCCACCACTACACCACAACAACCACCCTCCTACCCACCACTACACCACCACCACAACCATTACTTCCTCACCACAACCACACAATAACCACCTGCTTCAACCCACTCAAGTCCCTCAAACCTTACCCAGCCCACTCCACCTCCCCTTCACCACTCTACCTCCCCCTCCACCTCTCTACCCCCACCTCCCCTCCACCCCCAAGTGACATTCACAAGTCCCCTGTGTTCTTGGGGGTTCCTTTACAGCTCAATACACTCAGGTCAAACAAGGGGACACAGCTGAACCAAAAGCTAACCCATTCACTCCCCTTCTGCCCTCACCCACTCCTCCCCTCAGTAGGATAGTCCCTCAGCGACCACTCAGAAGGGCAGGGAAAGGGGGAGGGGAGGGGAGGGGGGGGCAGGACAGAATGACGGAAAGACACATAGACAGACGGACGGACGGACCCTCACCCCTATCCAAACTAAGATTTTTTTTTCGTCTCTCTTTCATTACGTTAAGTTAAACACTGAACCTTTTGAGAACACTTGAGGCACGTTGGTTTGTGGTTCACCAGAGGGTATGTGTGTGTGTGTGTGTGTGTGTGTGTGTGTGTGTGTGTGTGTGTGTGTGTGTGTACGTGTTTATCAAGTTGGCGAAAGTCTCTCTCTCTCTCTCTCTCACATAGTTATTTCCTCCCTTCGTATACCATATACACTGCGCACTGTACTTGTTCCTTCATTTACTAATTTATTCATTTTCCTTCTAAGTCCAATTTATCAAACATTACGGCCATCTTATTCCTCCTAAATCCTTTATTCTCAAACAAACTAAATAATTTGGGCCTCAATTCTGGAGAAAAAAAAATTGAATATATTTTTATCTAAGTCAGATTTCATAAACACTTACCGATTTTTTTCAACAATATCCGATTTGTTTTTTACAATCTGTCAAAATTTAAAAAAAAAACTGTTATGATTATTTCTTTTACTCTAAGTTATAATTTTTACGTCAATTATCAAAAAAAATAATTATCACAGTATAGTCTCGGGGAATATCAAGAGGCCATTATATCCGCCAAGTTTGTGTGGTTTAAAGTGGGTCAAGTAGATGTGTTATTGCGTAAGAATAACAAAGAAACAAATAAATAAGAAAAACAAAAACAAACAAAAGTTAAAATACAAAAAAATACTAATTAAATGAGGAACTAAAAATACAAATATTATGTAAAATAACAACAAAAACAACAAGGAAGTGATGCGGCAGCCTAAGGAACTATCCACCCCCCTCCCAAACCCCTCCTGCCCCCCCTCCCAAACCCCCTCCTGCCCCCCTCCACCCCCCATAAGGCAGGACCTCCCACGAGAAATCTAGGAAGGCAGAGACATCCAGGTGTGGTGGTCACAACCGCCACACACACACACACACACACACACACACACATTGAAGGTTAGTTAAGTGAAGGTGAAGAAAAGTTTGCATGGTGAGGGTTAGGAGGTTGAGGCTTTGATGGGGTGGGTGGTGAGGGGTAGAGGAGGGTGGTGAGGTGAGAAGGAAGGTGGTGAAGGGGGGAGGTGGTCAGAGGAGGGTGGTGAGGTGGGGAGAAGGAAGGTGGTGAAGGGGAGAGGAAGGTGGTGAGGGAGGAGGGTGGGTGTGGTATGGTAGTGGTGATGGGTGAGGTGGTGACGGGAGATTGGTGAGGGCTTTATAGTGGTGAGGGGGAAGGGACGCGGGAGAAAACAATAGCGTGAGGTTCTGGAGGTGTTGATGGGAAGATGGGCGAGGAGAGGGGCGGGCGGGAGGCGTGGGCGTCGTCTTGAGATAACACAATTATCCTGGTGATCAGAGGCGTGGGTGGAGGATGGCGTGTTGTGGAGGTGGAGGAGGAGGAGGAGGAGGAGGAGGAGGAGGAGGAGGAGGAGGAGGTGAGTGTGGAGGAGGAGGTGAGGAGGAGGAGGAGGAGGGTGGTTTGGAGGAGGAGGAGGGGGTGGAGGGGAGGAGGAGGAGGGGGTGGGGAGGTGGTTGGAGGAGGAGGGAGGTGTGTGGAGGAGGAGGTGGTGTGGAGGAGGAGGTGGTGTGGAGGAGGTGGTGTGGAGGAGGAGGTGGTGTGGAGGAGGAGGTGGTGTGGAGGAGGAGGTGGTTTGGAGGGAGGAGGTAGTGTGGAGAGAGTGTGGAGGTGGTGTGGAGGAGGATGAGTGTGTGTCTGAGATAGAGAGGATAGATGGATAGATAAATCGACAAACAGATAGACAGCTGGACAGACATACAAGACATACACGATCAGGAAGATAAACAGACATACATACAGACACAGATGGATATATAAACAGACAGACATACATAGGTATACGCATTGATAGCTAAAGACCACCATCATTACCACCACTATCACCACCACCACCACCACTCTCACCACCACTATACCACCATCACCACCACTACTACCACCATCATCACCACTACCACCATCACCACTACTACCATCACCACTACCACCATCACCACCACTACCATCATCACCACTACCATCACCACCACTACTACC